GCATTTTAGAAAGGCGGGGCATAGAGGAGAAACAATAATGTACAGTATGTGGAAAATAATGTGTTTTTTAACCTTAAACCACATAAACACATTTCATTACACCAAATACACAAAATAATGTTCTTTTTAGCAGCATCATATGACCCCTTTAAAGGAATAGTTCACCCAAAAATGAAAATTCTGTCATTAATTACTCACCCTCATGTCGTTCTAAACCCGTAAGACATTCGTTCATCTTCAGAACACAAATTAGGATATTTTTGATAAATTTCGAGAGCTGTCTGACCCTCCCATAGACAGCAATGTAATTACCACGATCAGGGTTAAAACTAAAATAACGACTTTATTCAACAATTCGTCTCCTCCGCGTCACCCTAGCGCCATTTTGGAGAATATCCGCTGGACGTAAACAGTGTATGCTGTTCTGTTTCAGCTGCGTCACACGTTTTCTACGTTGTTTAAGCTTTGATTTGAACAAAGACGAATTGTTGAATAAAGTCATTATTTTTGTTTTCTTTGCGTACAAAAAGTATTCTCGTAGCTTCGTAAAATTACGGCTGAACCCCTGATGTCATATGGATTATTTTACTGATGTCCTTGCTACGTTTCTGAACCCTGATCGTGGTAATTACATTGCTGTCTATGGGAGGGTCAGACAGCTCTCAGAATTCAACAAAAATATCTTAATTTGTGTTCCGAAGATGAATGGAGGTCTTACAGGTTTGGAACGACATGAGGGTGAGTAATTAATAACAGAATTTTCATTTTTGGGTGAACTATCCTTTTAAGAGAGAACTCAAGTAACTAAGTGCATCATGTTGCCTTGATTCAAAAGACAAAGAAAATGCATTAATATTTACATTTTTAGTGTTTTATTGCTCTCACCTTTGGATTTGTGCTTGATGTCAAACTGTTTGCTCTTTTTCCCCAGGATATTGGACGCAATGCATGTATATACTCCTGGGCTCAAAGTTGCAGCTCTCAAAACAGGCTGATCAGCCTTCTCCTGAAGGTTTGAGGAGGTCCAGACATACACAGGAGGTGGGTTACCCTCCGCAGTACAATCCAGCACCGTTTCACTATCCTCACTGATGTCCAGTATCTCTTCCTCTGGACTACGGAAGACAGGCGGGTCTGATGGGAAAAAAAATTAACAAAGATTTAACATTAATAGCTATAAAAGGTCTTCACTATTGGGTATTGTTGACTTTATTCACCTACATTGAACAGCAATGTTGAGAACTTCCGACTGAACTGTTGGAGGAGGTTGAGGTCCTTCTGCTCCCAGTTCCAGCTGTGCTTCACACCTGTATTGAGCTCCATCATCAGCTCTGTTTGGGACAATCAGCAAGGTGGAGGACACCTGGACCGGTGTTGCAGGGGATAACTCTGAGAACGAGTGGTTGTAAACCTCAGTTTTTCCTCTGTACCATCGTAAAACAAGGTACTGGACAGGTGCGACATTCTGCACCTCACACTGTAGCTGGTACTCTCTTCCTTCCACCACTGGACTGCTGTGATTCACTAAACTTATGGACACACTGTCTGGTTTCTCTGCGTGAAGACAATTGCGAATTTAAACAAAGGCATTTAATGGAGATATTCATAACAAAACATATTAGTTTAGACCAGTTTGGACCAGCTTAAATACCAAAGTGGTTTTGTTTTAGATGGTTAGTGCTGGTCTGTTTCTGGCACAAGCTGGTTATTGTTGCAGGTCGACCTGTTTTACCAGTGTAACCATGTTAAAAGCCACTTGGTAACCAAAAGTATAGTTTGCACCAAAATGACAACTGTGTCAATTTTTACTCACCCTCATTATTCCTTGATGATCTTTTTCTTCACCAAATCTATTGAAATTTAAATTCTGCTTATGTTCATTTAAAAATGCTGCCACACAGACTCATTGAATGAGTAATGACAGCATTTACTCTTTTTAAATGGATTGACATTAAGGTGGTCATTTGAAGCTAGATGCAGCTAGTCTACACTGATTTGTTTTCTTCAGAAGATCATTTTAAATACTGTACTTACTGTATAGAACAAGGTTGAGTTTTTCCTCACACTGTCTGGGTGCAGTAAAAAAAACACCATAGCAGATTGGCTCCTCGATCCAGTCAGTCAAACTGTCCACCCGCCACTGAACGCTGAGGTCATTCTGAGTGTGCGATGCGGCAATGACCGATTCCCATCCCAGCACGCGCACTGGACGAGAGGCCACACAGCTGACCGACACCGGATCCCCAAATTTCACCACTACTCTGGAGGGAGATATCTCTAGCGAGCAACTGTCAGCTGACACTGAAGGAGGTGTGAATCAGAATCAACAATATCACAAAATGCTGGGTTGTTTCAACCCAACTTTGGGTCAAATATGGACTAACCCAGCAGTTGGGTTCAATTTTTACATTCAATTTTTCACCCAAAAGTTGGGTTAGTCCATATTTGACCCAAAGCTGGGCTGAAACAACCCAGCATTTTTTAGAGTGTAATATGCCATATATAGAAAATGTAAATGCTATTTGAAAACAATTATTACGCAGTAAGCCTTATTTCTTCTAAGAAATACTTTTATGTAAAAAAGTTTTGAATGAAATGTACAAACTTCCAGAAACATTACAGTTAAGTTCAATAGGTTTTCATTGGAAGTTGGTAAGCGTAAACAGATATGCACCTCATAACTGTTTACTCTCAACTTAACCTGAAATATTACTAAACAACTAGCGTTATTTTCACAGAGAAACATCTTACCTATTCCGATAATGGACAGACCGAGAAAGCAAAGGAGATTGTTCTTCATTTTGATGAAAATGGTTGAAATCTGCTATAGTCCGCATACAGAGGAGAAAGAAATTCCGACTCGGTCTTGCTTGGCAACTAAAAACTGTGAACAGTGACAGCCAACAAAAGCCTTGTACTGAAGGGCCTGGAGGGGGATTGAAGTAGTGGGCCTCATTACAATCAGCTCTCCCTCTTCTCGCACCTCAGTATTTCTCATCTTCTGCAATGTATCTTGTGAAACTGTCTTTTTTATATCACATTTGAGACTAGCGTACTGAAGCATTACCACATTAGAATGTCTCTTTAATTTTATAATCGTATTTGTCTTTCAACTTGTAGTTGCTAATTGCAATAAATAGTTACAATTGCTCATGCTTATTGTTTTTGTGGATTGCCGCATGCATCACACATAAACTATATTTTAACTGATTGTGCACATTTCATTTTCCATTATTTCACTGTTTACGCATACCGTCTCGTTAATTTTTAAATGAGCTTATATGAGTTAAGAGCTACTGAGCTCCAGCTATAGCTGTCTTAAAATGCTTCACTGCAGTGAGGTTGCTATGCCAACACTCACTCAGGTTTTGGCAGACTGAAGTCGCACAGGTCACTGTGTTAAACACACAAAAGAGACACAAAGAACATTTTTAAATGTTTTTAAAAAAAAAACATAAGGATTAGAATTGATGTGTTTCCCTACTTCCTTGGGTGTGATACACACCCCAGTGACTTAGAAAGATTCATGGGTCCCACTTTATATTAGGTGGCCTTTACTATGTACTTACACTTAAATTAATCATTTGATACAATGCACTACATGTTTTTACGTTGTACTTATGTTTTAAAAAATACCTGCATGTAATTAAATCTGTAATTCATTTATGTAATTACATTTATAATTACACTGTTGACCCATCCCTTACACCTTAACCCACCCTTAAACCTACCTATACCACCAAACCTGTCCCTAACCTTACCCCATCCCACCTCAATAATTTTAAAAAATACCTGCATGTAATTAAATCTGTAATTAATTTCTGTAATTACATTTATAATTACACTGTTGACCCATCCCTTACACCTTAACCCACCCTTAAACCTACCTATACCACCAAACCTGTCCCTAACCTTACCCCATCCCACCTCAATAGCAGCAAAAGTGTTTTGCAATACAATATGAACATAATAACTATGGTGTACTTGTTTTATGTAAGTATATAGTAGTTAAGGCCACCTAATATAAAGTGGGACAGATTCTTGACATTCATGTAGCTATCCAGATGCTAGTAATTTGTTCAGGTTATTAATATTGACACATTATAAATTAAACTAGATTTGTTTTAGGCTCAGGTGTTCAGGGTGGTTGTTTACTGGGCCAAGTCAAAAGAGCCCACCCACAAGTATTGTGATATACGTATGGCAAATTCACACTCTGGTTGAAGGTTTTGTTGTGATTAACACCTTCTAAACATATAACACTTTGAGTCATTTTGACTCCACACTGTCACAGTTTCCACTGATACTCATCAAGCACATTTCCCCTAACAAACTGAAACTGAGCAAAATGAGAAAATAAAATGAGAAGGAAATCAAAGCCAAAGAAGTCAACATTTATTTTGCTGCTGTTCAACCACTCAAAATACATTTTCTTGTGTTTTCCAAAACATCCTAAAGGGCATCCGCTAGCCAAAAGGATGTACATCGGGGGGGGGGGAAGCTTTTGGAGGTGGGGGCCGAGGGAAATGAGATGTCCCCCTTGGTAGTTGACGCCCTGTGCAGTCTGAGTGCTCATCTTGTGCTCAGCTCACATTCACACCGAATACAGAAGAATTTTAAAAGCTGCTCTGTGCAATGAATACACAGTGCAATGAATATACATACAGTATATGCTAAATACTTTCTAAATGCCGTGTTACAGGGTGGCAAACCATATACTATATTACTAATGCAATATTGTAATGTTTTCAAACGTGCAACTTTATATACCCTCATATTAATTAAGAGACAAAATGGAATATTTGTTCTGTAAAATGAATTTGTCATACAGCAGTGAGGAAAAGCTTAGGAGAACAGTAAAAAAGTAAAAAAATTCAAATGAACATTCATGAAAATACACTTTCCAGTTATTGTCAGATGTTAATTTCATGCTAACATCTAAAGGCAGGGATTTATTTATAAATAAAAGTGATGTGTTGTAGTGGTTCCCACTGACTTCATATGTATGGCTGATGAACCACTACAAGTCAACACATTTTTATGAATTCCCAGCAGAGTAGAAAGAAAGAAAATACAATACTGTGACTAATTATCTCTGTTGTGTGACTATTATTTACATGATAGTAATCAATGCAACCGACAACTGGAAAAAAGTAAGAACAGTCCAGAATGTGGGACGAATACCTGTGGAAGAAAAGCTGTGTTAATGACGTAATTTAAACACTCAAGTGTTTTCAATGCTGAATCCCTGTCTACAGATGCACTCTTTAAAAATACAGGTTCCAAAAGGGGGGTTTACCGATGGTGCCATAGAAGAACTATTCTTGGTTCCACAAAAGTTCTTAAAACTGAAGCTGAACTGTTTTTGTAAAGAATATTTTAATAATCTAAAGAAACATTTTCCAGAAAGCACCTTTAGTGGAATGCAAAGATTCCATGGATGTTAAAGGTTCTTTGTGAATCCATAGATGCCAATAAAGAACCTTTATTTTTAAGAGTGTACAAAAGAGTGACTCTGGTTTTACACCCAGAAATCAAACACGATGTATAAAATAAGAAACACCCAAACCAACATTTAGAAAAAAACAAAAACATAAATATGCACAAAGTATTTAAGTCATCAGATAATGTCTCATATGTGCACTCATTATTAATGAGAGCAAAATAATACACACATTTAAAAAAAAAAAAATAGAATACATAATGCAAATTTGAAATGTTTAAATTAACATTAATGAAATCTTATTCAAATATAAACAAAATAATAATTAATGCAATTTCACGTTTTACAAAAATCAGATGATATATTTTCATTCATAACCCACCTGTAGATTTGACGATGAACACTTTGCTGTCTCTTCCCAGAGCGTTTGTGGCGGTGCATGTGTAGTTTCCTGGACTGAGTGCTGAGGACTTGAGCTCTGAGGAGCTGTTCTTCTCTTTCAGATGATCCCATGTGTACGTAGGGGCCGGGTTTGCCTTCACTGTACAATCTAGCATGACCTTATCGTCTTTAATGATGGTCTCTGTTGAACTGGAGTGTTGTGGTTTATCTGAGGAGGACAGAGATACATTTCTCAGCACAACAGCATCATGATGAGCAGCCGTTAGTAACAGATCACTAAAAATACTGCAACTGAAACCTTTTTATCTGAGTTCATTCAATTCATAATGCCATTTTTAAGTGAATATGCAAATCTCTGAGCGTGATGAAATACGACAGTTGCACATCCGTCACACTAGAAGGCCCTACAGAAAATATAAACTGAATTATATGGCTAGCTTAGCAATAATAAACTTACAGTATACTTCAACATTAAGAGGTTTTGATGAAATTGTTGGATGAGGTTGAGGTCCTTCTGCTCCCAGATCCAGCTCTGCTTCACACCTGTATTGAGCTCCATCATCAGCTCTGTCTGGACGGATCAGGAGTGTGAC